TGGGTCTTTCTCTGTTCCTGAGGTCACATTATACTTCTCATAGTCTAGCTTCTTGCTCATAATACAGATTGAATAAGTATAATGAGAGGATACCACCCCAATGCTAACAATGCTTCTCTGGTTTTAAGCCATGCAGTATCCCTGGTTCCGTTAGAACAACTGCTTCTTCGTGCATGTACAGGTTCCACATGCACACAGTTAAGTGCTCCGGAAGTCTCATTCTTCTCACTGTTATCCATAGTTTGTATGGGTCACACACTCTTGTCAAAGTCAATAAAACACAAACATTTTTCTGGTTGAGGGAATGGCATGGAGGCCATATCTGACTACCCCCAGCTTCAGTAGGGAGGAAACTCTAACTTTTTAGCAACTAGCACTGATTGCCACAGGCAGAGATCAGACACACTTCCATCCTCCTTTACCCTTTTCTGATATGAACCGTTCTTTTCCTAGCACGCTCCTTCCCTTCTGGGATCTGTAGCTCATTGTTATAGCCACACGGAACCTAAAGACAATACTCGCAATGATGGAGAAGGAAGTTAACAGGTTATCACAAGCCAGGATCATAAAACTTTAAGGATACAGCCTGGTTCACAGCAGCACCTTCTCTTAGTCAGCAGCCACATGTCTGTCAGTTCTTCAGCCTTGGTGTCTACCTTGTTCTATGGGCTGGGAAGCCTGTTGGTCTACCTCATAATCCCAGTCGCTGGTCTCAGTGCTTTAGCTTCTGGTGCCTCTGCCACTTCTTTATGGATGGTCCTGGGATTCATTCCTCCCTGTACTTCCCCCTCCCTCTTCCCCTCCCCCTCCCCCTTCTCTCTCGCTCTGATTCTATGATGGTAGCTCCCTTACAGCCAGGGGAATGGCAAAACTGACCAATCCTTGAGTTAGAGTCCTCTACATCTTATTTACATGGTGGGAGCTAATAGAAAAATGGGAAGAAGAGCTGTACGTGATTACTTTTTTTCCACCACACTGTTATTCTCTGCTTTCAACCAAGATATATTTTGATGTTAGTAATGCTATCCCCCATTCCATGTCCTCTTCTGAATCCAGTTTGAATTTCTGGCAGCTTCCTGTTGATGTAATGTACTACTACAACTGGTTTTTACTTATTGTCACCAATATTTTACTTGCATGTGATATGAATGATATCCTATAATTTGCATATTTTGAGTCACCTTTCTTTGGGATGGGCACAAACATGGGTCTTCCCCAGATGGCTGGCCACAAAGCTATCTTCCAAATTTCTTGGCATAGTGAATGCTTCCAGTGCTGCATCAGTTTGTTGAAACATTTCAACTGGTATTCTTCAATACCTGAGCTTTGATTTTTGCTAATGCCTCTGTGCATCTTGGGCTTCTTCCTTCAATATTATTGCTTTTTAATCATATGCTACCTCATTAAATAGCTGAAACTTGACCAATTCTTTTTGGTAGAATGACTGTATATTCATTCCTTCTTATTTTGATACTTTCTGCACCATCCAACATTTTGACTCTGGAGTCAATTGTATCAAGCATATTTGTACATATGTTGCCATCATCATTTTCTAAACATTTACTTTCTATTTGAACCCATAGTATCAGCTCCTCTTTTTTCCCTCCAACCCCCCTTCCCACCCTGGTGACCCCTTGATAAATTGTAAATTATTATTGTTTCATATCTTATACCAATTAATGTCTTCCTTCACCCACTTTTCTGTTATTCATCCCCCAGAGAAGAGGTTATATGTAGATCCTTGTCACCAGTTCCTCCTTTCTACTTGACCTTCCTTCCACCCTCCTGGTATTGCCACTTTCACCACTGGTCCTGAAGGGATCATCTGTCCTATCTAGGACAGATGTGTTTCCAGTTCCTATCTGTACCAGTGTACCAAAGTACATCCTCTAGCCAGATTTGTAAGGTAGAATTGGGATCATG